AGCTAAAGAGCAACAACGGGAAGGGCGTCCAAATTTTATGAACTGTTTTCCTGTGACTCTGCTTCTCGATCTTCTCTTTGGACCCTCTGCTCTGTTTCTTTCTTCTCCTTATGAACTTTAGTATTAATGCTTTAATGTGGCCGTAATTGGCTTTAGCCAGATATATATGTTGCTTTAAGCTTGTTGATCAGTATATATTTCCTTTAAACTTCATTGTTCCTTTAGTCTTTTCTGTAATTTCTACCTATCAAGACCAGGGATCGTGACATCTCTTCGTAGTTAAAATGATTAAAAGATAAATATGCATAATCTGGGTTCTTGCAACCAAGTAAAGTCATGATGACTTCACAAATTTGTAACGTGGTATGCATAAATGGTATCCCATACAGCAATAGCCACTAACTTATTCTCCAAAATGAAACTGTTTAGGTAAATTTTGCAAAGCCAAGCATGCTAACACATGGAATTTTACTCCAAGCAGAGGGTTTTTCAGGTTAGACAAATTGATTAACTCAAATAGACAGATAGCCAAAGAATTCTATCATTAAAAGATAGGAAGCAACCAAGTCAACAAAGGAAAATTCACAATTTCACACCCCAAGTTTGCCTGATTAATTCACCCACAATTTAACTTGAAAATGACAAGAACCTCGTGCAAAATTTCTGCGTACCAGAATTAACCCAGATGAAGAGCCTGAGAACTAAACGTCATTTGTGAAATATAAGGCTTTCATATGCTTGGATAGAATGTCTTCAACAGAAATTCCAGCACACATTAAACAGAACTTAACCCAATATCTTAGCATTAATAAACAACATTCTTTGACAGAAATCTGATCCAAAACAAGAGCATGTATTGTGCAGAATCTAAACGGAGTTCTTGAACGAAATCTTTGATCAAATGCTCTACTTTTCAACTCATAACAAAACAATAAGCTGCCAAAAACTTAAATGGAGTTTTTGAGCAAAACATTGACCATGTCCACATGAAGAACTTTTCGGCCCAAAACGCAACTTCAATGAGTGCAGAATTCCAATGCACGGTTTTTGTACAAAAATTGGCCATTTGCACCCATTTACAACACATTTAATTTTACTTAAAAAAATTAATCAAATTTTCAATCAAGTTTTTTATGTCTACTTTAATTTAAAATTACTTAAGATTTTGTCCCAATTTTCTATAAACAATAAGAAAAAAAAACTATTTTCTAAACGAAAACAAATGAAAGAAAGAAAAAGAAAACTCTTAAATTAAAAAAAAAAATCTAACCAAAACGTGGAATACAAAATAAGCACACAATTCGATGGCTTTGCAATAGTGACGGACCTAGAAAAATTAATCAATGGAGGCAAAAATTACATTTAAAATAAATATTAATATTTGTTTAAAATACAATATTTTAACTCTTTTTAATTTTATTATTTATTAAATAAAATAAAATTTATCAGCTTTCTTTCGTATAGTATACAAAATTTTTGAGATAATTTTTTTTATTTATTCGCATTAGAGAAAGGTATTTTTTTATTACTGTTTCCTCCATTCTAAAAGTATTTTTATTTCGTGAAAATGGTAGTGAGGCTACTGAACAACTGAATACTTATCTATGCATAAGTTAATCAATAAACTTTTAATTGTGCATAGATAAACTTTCACGTTCTTCAGGGTTGTCGATGGGTGCAGGATATATGGAAGAGAAGTGTCAAACCTGATATGCTAATAGATTCTTCAGCTTGAAACTTCAAGAATGGTGCTTTTGGAACATGACTGTTGACGTTGGATTGATAAAGGAGCATTAGGGTAGTTGGTTCTCAGTTGTTTGCTAACTAATATAGCGCCACCGCAATGAGCATATCTTCCAGGATTTGAGCATTTAAATGGAGTTTCTGGACAAAACATTGACCATGTCCGCATGAAGAACTTTTCGGCCCAAAACGCAACTTCAATGAGTGCAGAATTCCAAAGCTCAGAAAAGACAATAATCAGCACTTAAAAAACTCTTATTTTACACTCATAATTCTTAAATTTATCAAGTAATTTTAATTTTTAATTTAAACTTGTAATGATTTACATTTCAACAATAATCAAACACTTATTTTAAGTCTTGCATATCTTTTACATCTTGGTAAATTGTGGTAGGGAAGTTCAAAATTTTTTTTTATTATTAATCGAGATTCAACATCTTTAACATGTCTGGTAACTTGTTATTTGTGACGAACACATGGTCATAGCATTTTCATCCATGTGGATGGAATTGGCTACTATTATTAATCTTCTTTTAACTAATAAAAAGATATGTTTTGTTTTTTAACGATAACTTAAATTTTTTCTATTTAAAAATGTAAGATATTTTTAATTAAATTTTATTTTTTAATAAAATAGTTACTTATTTTTAAATTAATATTATCTTTCTATATTCACTCCTATATAATAGAGCGTTTTATTCTAAAATAAATATAAAATGATTATTTAATAGGAACATTTTTAAAAAATAATAATAATTATACCTTAAAATACTAAAAATACCTAACATTTTTTTAATATTGAACTTTTTAAAAAATGCCTCACAATTTAGAACGGAAGGAGTGTTTATTTTTTTAACAGTAATAATTATGAAAAAAATTAATATGCTTAATTAGTCTTATATGCTTAAAATACTTGTTTCTAATTAAATCAATACATGTAACTTATTTATATAGTTCTTCATTTAAAAATATAAAATATTTTTAATTGAATCTCACCCTACAATAAAGTTATTACCTACTTTCAAACTAATCCTATCTTTTCATATTTATTCCTAGTAAACACTCTATAATAAATATAAAGTTATTATCAATAGGGGCACTTAAAAAAAATAATTATATCTCGAAAGATCAAAAATACTTTATATATTTTAATATTTAATTTTTTTTAAAAATATTTTATATATTTAAACAGAAGGGGTATTATTTATTTTATAATAAACTCTTATTACCAATATTATTAATATGTCAAAATTTACTGATTTAATTTGATAAAAGTAGATGAAGCAGTGTGTGTGTGTGTGTGTGTGAGAGAGAGAGAGAGAGAGAGAGAGAGAGGGAGATAACTGATAAGACGCTCACGCCTCGAGTAATTTTCCGGGGGGCGAAATACAGTTTTCCCTCAATATTAGTGGTCCCTAACGACTAACGAACGAGAGAGGCTTGGTTTCAGCGTTAATGGCAATTAAATCATAGGGGTGAGGGGTAAAGGTTTTGCCTGGTCAATGTATAATAGAGCATAGCATAGTTAGAGCCGTCAGAATGGTGAAAGATGTTGAAGTTAAGCGACTAAGCGGTGAACACGAGTCGCTTAACTTTTGTTGACAGATGGCACAACACGAGTCACACGTTGCTTCACGAAGGATCGCCTCCCAGAAACATACCCATAACTTGTTTTGGTTCCCATTCTAAGCTGTCCTTTAAAACACTTTTCCGGATCCATAATGCATGCTATTATTTTATAGTTTCTCATTTTCACCCCTCGTCAGACTCTTAATAATTAATAAAAAAAATAACAATTAAAGACCACAAAAAAATTTATATTAATCAAGAATAATTTATTATTAAAATATAAATAAATATTTATTAATTTAAATTAATTTTTTATTAACAAGTATTAACTTAAATTTTAATAATAATTTATTTTAAATTAATAATGATTCATTTGAGTTTTTTGTTTATTTGAATTTTGACAACAATTATTTGTTGAATTATATAAATTTATTCCAGCTCATGTTGATTGCTATTTTTTCTAATTAATATTGTAAAATATGGAAAGAATTAAGGTTTACGAGATATTTACCTTTTTTTTAGTTGACAGGGATTAAAATAGATTCTTAAATTGTTAGCACGCTAATATGGCACTGGTAACCCTGCAGCTGGGATGCTGTGACACGTGAACTGCTTATCAATGAAAAAATGGCCTCGGCCGAGCCCATGCATAGCATGCTTTGCCCCCATTATAAAATTATATACTTCCTGCCGTGTGGCCCCAATATGACTCCTGCAGGTCCCACTTTACTTTTCCTTTTTTTTTTTTGTCCTTTTTTAAAAGGCAGTCGTCTTTATCAATTATGGGGCAGGGGGATAGGCATTGATGCTGGAAAGCTCCTCATCCATGCGCCTAACGTCCACTCCTCCTTATCCCCAACACCCCCCTCCTCGTTTCTTATTTTCCCTCTCATCCAACCCCAACGTCCTCACCAACAACAATCACCATAATATACTCATTTTTGGATTTTCCCTCTCACCGCACTTATCCCCCACTACTGAATCACGCTTCCCCTTTCCTTATTCAAAAAAGTGGCATTCACCGTCATCCCTTTACTCAAGATAGATTTCAATTTAAATTAGCGATTCAGTTCTCCCAAAATTATTATTTTTCTTTATCCCAACACATAATCCACACGATTGTCCTCAATTATCAATGCATAAATTTTTACTCAGCCAATTATCAAGAAGAAAAGAAAATAAGAGAGGAGAAAAAATTACGTGGCCAATTGGTCTTTAAGTCACCATTTGGAATTATCAGCTAACAAGTGTACACGTAATTTCCACCTAACTCAGTGGTTATCAGCACGTGACACCGTTCTGACAAAAAAAATTAGTTGAACGACTGCTGTTCAGTCGTTCCAAAACCCGCTTCACTCCCAAAAGAAACTAAGCTAAATTAAAATACTTTATTTCACAGGAGAAATTAAAAAAAAAATGAAAGTTCAAAAAGTAAATGATCAGTGAATCCTGATATTAACGTCGACAGGCAGTGGTTGATGGCAATCAAAGTGGTTCCAAAATGAATTCCTTACTAAATAAAAAATTCAGTGCATTTTTAAAAAAGTCGTGCAGTGATTCCAACTAGATGGGTATCGTCAATCGTGTTTTTTCACGCCTAGAAGGGGGACAGGTAAAATATTTGTCCACGTGGAGGGGGGGAAGGACGAAAGAAAGCAAGATTACAAGATAAAATGGGCAGGGGGTACGTGCAACGGAGAAGCGTTTCTCTCTCGCCCTCTCCCCTCTCTACCTTTCCATTTCTCTTTGCTGCCATTGCAATGGCAACCTGGTTACTGCGAGGATCCAGAACCATAATTCAACAGCTTCCCAGAAGGATGGCCTTCCTCGGTGCTCCTTCCTCGTTGGCTTCGTCGATGCCAACTTTTGGGGGCCGTGACAGAGCACCTCCGCTACTGGGTAATACTTGTTCGGGCTTACTTTCCCACTCGGGGCGTCATGATTCCACCAAAGCTCAGATCCAATTATACCATCCCCATGTCGCTGAAGATGATGACAGTCAGGTAATTTCCCTGATCCGCTTGCTCTGTTAGCGTTAATCTGCATCTATTCAGCTCTCCTTATCAACACTTCAATTCACAAGGCTCCCTACGATGGGTTCATTACACTGCAAAACTGCTTGCCTCTCCGTTTCAGTTCCTTCTCCTCATCCTTACTCATCAACATCCTCCTCTTCTACTAATCGGACCCTTTTCATGCATTCAGACCGTTCCTGCCTACGATTTTCTTTTTCGTTTCTATCACCAACTTTTTCCCCTGTATTTATTTGAATATACTATTCGAATCTCTTTTTGTGTTGGCACACGATACGAGTTTAGTCGCGTCTTCAAAATTAAGGTCAACAAAGATTTCAACACCGTGAGAGATTTTATTATTATTTGACCTCAAACTGAAGAGATGGATCAACATCTTTTTTAAAAACTTTTTTTGGTTAATTTGGGACAAGCATTATTGTACGGATAAAAGTAGGAGCCTGGGAGGGAGAGCCGGAGAGGAAATGGTAAGTCTTGCCGATGCCCCGTGGGCAATAGTCAGCGTGTAGTCGATTTGATTCGCTCTAATCCCCAGATCTGAGATTGATGTATTCAATTTCAATTAATCAATGGTCTCGGCCAAAACTTAACCTTGTGGTTGCGCTCCTCCTTTTCCCTATCCATTTTCTTCTTCTTCTTCTTTTATCATTGGATCAAAACTTTTTAACAATTTTAATTTAATATTTGATAAAATATTATAGTTTTAAATTATTTAAATCAAATTTTAATAATTCAAATTTATTTATATATTTTTATATAAAATTAAAATGATAATTTTATTAAATATTAAATCATAACTTTTTTTTTCGAGGAGGAGAAAATAAAAAAAAAAAGAAAAAGAGACACTCCCCTTCCCTGCACCCAGCTTTTTAAAGTCAAACATACCATCAACATAAAATCTATATATGCCACCGCATTCACATATAAAAAATATGCTATTTATTTTTAATTCGAAGTAATATAAAAAATGTTTGATCTAATTTATCTTTCATAAAATTCATATAGCAGTGTTTATAAAAAAAAAATATTCATGTAGCAGTTAGCAGCTTATCATCTAGGTTTTTTTTTTTTTTTTTTTGCCGTTCTTTTCTATCCCCCAGCTCCAAAATAAGTCTGTTACTAATTACACTTCAATTTTGAATTTTGATTACAACTTCCGAATAGCTTAAATTTAATTCCCCTCAATCATACAATAAATATAAGAAGCAAGAATAAATAGCGATTGAATCTAACAAAAAAAGCTAGTACTTTATGATGTGGTGTTGTAGGTTCAAACTTTTATAGAAAAAAATGTTTACATTTAGTCTTCGACTTTGCTTCAAATATCATTGCCTCCGGTAATGGAGAATTAAAAAAAGAACATAAAAAAAATTATTAGCATTTACATTAATTTTTCTAGACAATCTCTTTTTTAATTGCATACTATACAATGAAACTTGTGAAGAATTACGCTCCAGTTTAGTCTTCACAATTACTGACAAGGAAACCCTCCACCTTAATTAATTATTCCAAAGAGTAAAAAATGAATTAATTTTTTTTCAATAACAATAAAAAATTTTAGACAATAAGTTTGTAATTTATTTATTAACCATTTTATCTTACTTTTAAATCATTTCTTAAATAAATTCTTAATGGCGTTCTAAGAAAACAAATATTTGGAAAAAAGTTATTGGGAAATGAAATTTAGAGGATTATATTTTAGAGGATAATCATAAAATTGAGAAATAATCACATTTCGAAGATGAGCGCAATAATTTACTCTGGTTTTTTAGTTGGGAGAAGAGAAACTAATGGACAGCGGAAAGGCTCAGGAGAAATCGAACCTCAAAAACGTAGAACTCAAGAAACTTTTAGTTTTACTCCCACCATCTTATATATAAAATATTTTTTAAAAGTTTATTGTATCTCTAAATAAAAAGAGTGATAATGATATTTTTAAATAATTAAATAATTTTACTTTTGTCTTGAAAAATATAATAGATTATTAATTGCATGTTTTTTCTATCACAATCATGATATTAATTATAATATTATTAGGAGTAAAACTAGAAAATTATTATGTTTTAATGTGAGTTCAATTAAATAATAAACTTTTATTAGTATATAAGATTTAATTAAAAATACTCCTAATACTTCATGTATAGGGATGGAGGGAGCACTTCTCATCCATCAATCCCCATGTCCTGACACTTTAAACGATATCAATTCCGTCAAATTGCCTGACATTAGAGACAAGCCTCTCAGTTTAAAGTCAGGCATTTTAAAAATACAATCGTACTACAATGATCTAACAATCACAATTTGGAGTGAACAGCTGTGCGAGGTCATTGATTTCCCTGGAGGCAAAGTAGCATTTACTTCTGAAATGAGATTTACTCCCGAGTCTGCTGAGAAACGAGTGCCTTGTTATCGAGTCCTCGATGACGATGGGGTGCCCATGCCATACAGCAAATATGTACAGGTATATCTCACCAGTAGCAAAAGCCTGTGCCTTTCGTCTTGCTCTTCCAAGCACCGATATGATTGAGCAATCTAATGAGCATGGCTTCAACAGGTCAGCAAGGAGATGGCTGTAAAGATGTACTCTGACATGGTCACTCTCCAAATCATGGACAATGTATTCTATGAAGTTCAGAGGCAAGGAAGAATCTCATTCTACCTCACCTCGACGGGAGAAGAAGCAGTTAACATCGCTTCTGCAGCTGCACTTTCTGCTGATGATGTCATATTGCCTCAGGTTTCACCTCTATCACCAACTCGCCGTTCAACACAAACTGAGTTATTCGAGTACATTGATTACCAAGTCCTATATATTATAGTTTATAATCAGAGCTTGAACTCGTTGACATTCTTCGTGTTGCTAGTACCGAGAGCCTGGAGTTCTACTGTGGCGTGGCTTTACACTGCAAGAGTTTGCAAACCAGTTACTGGGAAACGAAGCTGATTTTGGAAGAGGAAGGCAGATGCCTATACACTATGGATCAATCAAGCACAATTACTTCACTATCTCATCCCCCATAGCGTAAGACATACACAAGCACACATTATAATGCAAATTTCAATTATAGGCAGCTAGCATGAATTCTGAAAAAAGTCCACGTTGCTTTTGCCAAAAAACAAACAGAACACAGCTTCCTCAAGCGGCGGGCGTTGCCTATGCCCTTAAAATGGAGGGGAAAAAAGCATGCGCTGTTACTTATATCGGGGATGGCGGCTCCAGTGAGGTTGCTGCTCAATCACATGTCTTTTTCAAATTAACTAGCTTATTGCTCTTTCTAACCTCATCAAACATTGCAGGGAGATTTCCATGCCGCTCTGAATTTTGCAGCAGTAATGGAGGCTCCTGTTATATTTATCTGCCGCAACAATGGATGGGCCATCAGTACCCCCATAGAAGAGCAATTTCGAAGTACTCTTTTTGAAACCCCATTTGACTGCTAACACAGCTCCAAACTCTCAAATTAACTTGCCAAATCATTCGGGGCTATTTCAGATATTGGAAACTCATGTTTGTCTTGTTTAAAAGGTGATGGTGTTGTAGTTAAAGGTCGAGCATATGGGATCCGGAGTATCAGAGTTGATGGAAATGACGCACTTGCTGTCTATAGTGCAGTTCATGCTGCTCGAGAAATGGCTGTAAATGAAACTAGACCAGTTTTAATTGAGGTGTGACTGCACTTCCCCTCGTACTCATACTGAGAGAACCTCAAGCCTTTGTCTTCGACATGACAGTTTTTCTGTGTTGACGAACTTTCAGGCACTCACATATAGAGCAGGACACCACTCTACATCGGACGACTCAACCAAGTATCGGTCAACGGATGAGATTGAGTATTGGAAAATGGCTCGAAACCCTGTAAATAGATTCAAGAGATGGGTGGAAAGCAATGGTTGGTGGGACAACCGGGAAGAACTGGAGCTTCGAGAAAGCGTGAAGGAGCAGGTCAGTTTTAAAATTCATCCATGTTCGCTGCTAACCCTGGCTTTATGCATGTTTTACATGATTTTTACTATTTCTCTACAGTTATTGCAAGCGATTCAGGTTGCAGAGAAAAAACAGAAACCTGCTCTCGAGGAGCTTTTCAAAGATGTGTATGATCAAGCACCGTCGAATCTTCAGGCGCAAGAGAGACAACTTAGAAAAACCATTAAGAACCATCCAGGAGACTACCCTTCCGATGTTCCTCTGTAAATCTTACCAACTCAGAAATCAAACAAGGATAAACAGGCGTGGCCTTTACTTTATACAATATATCTTAGAATTACACTAAGTATTAGCGTAGGTGTAGGAATACAACTCTAACACGCGGGGCCGCATATGTAAATATACTAAAATACGTTGCCCTTATGATAATTAAACTAAAATAAAACGGACTATCATGAAAATTAAAATTTTAGGACTTTTATAATTGTCATGAAATTAAATGTGTGGGCACCGAAATAGTATTTTCAATTTGTTGGAGGGTGAAATTATAAATATCACCAATCAAGTTAAACTCATTTATAAATAAAAGTTATAATCAACAGATTTAATTGAACATACAAAATCATAGACAGCACTCTTCTCAAACAGATTTAATCTTTAGCCATAGGCTCTGCAGACTGCAGTGCTCTGTTCTCCCTAATTATGGATTTTGATGATTTAAACGCAAGTGCCTCTCACTACTCATTGACATGGCCACGTAAGCCCGAACCTTAAACCGAGGAGTTCAGGAATAAATCATACGGCATACATACAATGACAACGAACTCTGTCCGCGGCCATTTATAAACAGCTAAACTTCTGGCTTTAGGTTACACCAGACAATTCAGTCTAAATTCAATCAATATCAGCTCTCTGATGCCAATTCTTCTTCTTTTTTGAAAGATCAGGTGTAAATGTTGTTTATGACTTGCGGGTTTATGAAAAGACACCATTAATTGCGGGTATTATCTTTGTTTTCAAATAGCACTGTTACAATTCTCGGAATCTTTGGACAAATAATTGTCAGCCGACTTATCATGTAAGATTTATTTAATGGCTGATGGTAACTTGTATGATAATCAATTCAATTTAGATGCGGGAAAATTTCAAGACTAGGCTCGCCAATCAATCTACGACTGCCAACGTGTGTGTGTGTGTGTATATATATATATATATATATGTCAGTCAATCTATGGAATGAAGCAACGACGCGATAAGAATTCGCATTTGTTTTCAAATATAAAGCGATGTTGAAACAGGGGAGCATGCGGGGAACAAGAGATCAAACAGTTTCATGGAAAATGGGATATTTGGAGGATGTATACGTATACGTTTGTCTCACTCCTAAATGGAATCTGTCTTCTTGTCCTCTGGTGCTCTTCCCAAACGGCACAATCGAAGACGGCAGATTTAATTTCCCGCCATTTCTGCCGCCGAAGAATGCCCTAAGGATATTATCGGGGGATCATTCGAATGTTCTTGACGGTCCAATTAATTGATCCGCGGAGAGATGGAGAGAAAAGAGGGCTCTGCCGATAGAGGATGGGAAGACGAAGCTTCTGCTCTGGAATCTTTAGACAATAATCTGTTCCAGCCTTCCATATCATGTCACGCACATGATCTTGGAACCCCTTTTTATTGATGTTATAGAATTTGGAGGTAACATGCTTGTGATTTGAAGACCCATGTACATTTCGGGGTTTTAATTAATACCTGCCCTATGGAGAGCCCAGATACACATTCTTATGTCGTCGTTGCATGTGATGCCACCAAAGATCGCAGTGAGAACGACATCAAGCTCATCGTCGATAACGTTCGAAATAAGAGTGGCATTCTCGGTGCAGGTCATAAACTTCTTGTGCTCGGCATTCTGTACAAGGTGCCTCATCCCCGTAACTTATGTATATGTAGCCGGGTCGAGTGTGTCAATGACTGAAAATTTACATGATGAGTTCCGATATGGTTAACTCAACATATATCAACCTGGCTGTGCCACTGTACTTAACTGTGAATTGTGATTGCATATGCTGCCACCTGCCAGTGCATTAAATTAAAATTTGAGTTTTAAATATTCAATGATTCCCGTTGCTACCGAATAACTATGCGGTCTCGCGTTCTGCTTCCTTTGGATTAAATCTAACAGTGGGATACCAAACATTAGCATGCCCTGAGTCTTTTGCTGGCACAAACTTCCGCGCAATGGAGGAACCAGTTAGGAGGAAAGTGGAAGCCTATGCAATCATGCTTTTGCCAACTTTCCAAGTTTGGCAAAAAGAGGGGGTAATATATGAACTTCCACAAGTTTTATACAGTCATCTATAAAATCTGTAAGAAATCGTACTACTTTTCATGAATTATGAATACGAATCATATGGCTGACGTTGAGCTACGTGTGTATGCATGTGATGATCTGCTCTGATAATGCTTTAATTATTCACATAGTCAACACCAAAATGTCAAATTACTTTTTTACTATTATATGTACTTTTCAGTTTCATTCCCAATAATTTCCTTTCCTTCTTAATTCTTCATGCAAAAGCTTACCACAATGACCCGCTGAAGCTAATTTCTTCGTTACCTTATCCATCTGCTACCTCCATCCAGCATTTAAATTTCGACCGTGTATCTTGGTTGTAATAATTAAGCATCACTCTGAGACAATGGATTTAAGTATGCATCTGATCAGTTTTGGTTTGTTCATAACGCCAACTTTAAATCCTTGTTTAGGTCAGCATCGAAGTCAAGGTCACTGCAGGTTTTCCAGTTAGCTAGACAGGTTATTTTACAAGAGATTGTACACGATAATGCAGATTGGGTAATACTCGATAGGTATTAGTTTTCTTCTAGCGCGAGTAAATGAAAACTACCTCTTACATTTGACTGATCAGGTTTACGTAGAAGCTATCTAACCATGATAATCGAACTCTGTATTCTTCCCCTAGTGGTTTCATATTTAACTAAGCGGATATTTAATTGATCAGGCATCTTCGACGAGACCCGGGATATCATTTGAACAAGATACCGTGTAAGGTTGCATTGGCTAGGGATGATTTCACTATATGGGGAAGCAGAAGTCACGGGTCACAAGCCTGTCTATTCTCCGTCGCATATTGTTTCGCTATCAGACGGTTGTAGTATTGAAGACCCCGAGCATTCTATCATCTCTTGCACAAGTTATCCCTCATCTTCTATCTCTCATGGCATCTCTGATTTTGGATCTTCTAAGCAAGAAAATCAGGTGGCTCCTATCTATTGGTTTTCTTTAACAATTTGTAAGTGTACAATTTCCCTGTCTCAAAATTACATGGGCTAAAACTACACTTTTTATTTGTATAATGAGTTCCTGTATGAACTAGTTCGTGGTGACAACTATAAATAAGAATTTTCCAGTGTCTTCCGGGCACAAGCCCCAAAAGTGAATATAAAGATCCCATTACTTTTCAGATAGGCCAGATGCAAAACAAATATGGCTTTCTTCCAAAATCTTCAGATGCGCAATTCTTTGTGCTGGTTGTGGGACAAGGACGGAATTGCACACGAAGGAATCAATGAGGTTCAGCTATTCTGACATCCGGCACTCCGGCAGGCAACAAACAAATTTTCAAATGATAACTTGTTAGGTGAAGGTGGATATGGTCATGTATACAGGGGTGTGCTTAGAGACGGTCAGCAAATTGCTGCCACGGTGAGGAAAGAAGAAAGCAGACAAGGGTTTTCTGAGTTCAATTCTGAGATTTATGTCTTGAGTTTTGCTCGACACAAGAACATAGTGACGCCGTTAGGTTACTGTTGCAAGGAAAGGCAAAATATTCTGGTGTACGAATATATTTGCAATAAATCTCTTCACTGGCATCTGTATGGTAAGCACATAAAAGCTTACCAGGTGAATCGATTTATTTTCAAGCCCTTCGTGCAAATCTATACATCCATATAGATTTCTCTCTCAAAATGGGTAACATTTACATGTAGATAAAAACGCAAAAGTTCTTGAGTGGCACCAAAGATATGGCATTGCCATTGGAACTGCAAAGGGTTTGCGTTTTCTGCACGAGGAATGCCGTTGGGGTCCTATAATTCACGGAGATATGCGACCGAGCAATATACTTCTCACTCATAACTTTGTTCCCATGCTACAGCAATATAATTGACCCCAGCATCACAGTTTTAGTAAATGATGAGGCCTTTATTTCCGTTCCCATTTATTCGGGAACCTCGATCAGTTTATTTGTTGTTGCATGCCATGCACGTCAATCTTTCGTATTTGAAAAATAAAAGTTCCCTTGGTTGGATGGAATGCAAAAGAGAAGGATGATAAACATTAATTAATTACATAAAACATGATTCCAATTAACTTTGAGCAATTAATTTATTGATGGGTGGAGTCAATAAGTGTGGTTTCTGAATGCAGCTAGGTGACTTTGGTCTTGCCAAATGGAAGAGGGGCGATGAGACTCTGCGAACAAGGATAATGGGCACATTGGGGTGAGGATCTGCATTAGCTTTGCACACCAAATATTAATATAAAAGCTTTTTGGTCCCAAGGTTATGAAACAGAAATCATCTAGAACAACTCTCTCCCCCACGGTGGGTATGGCCTATCATCCGTGTCTTTAATCACATATTTTGAGAACTCGTCCACTTTCTCCTCAGTGGATTCATGTTTTCCCATCTTAGTTTATTCTTGCCCTGCTAATTAAGCTTGATATATTATGTGGTGGTGGAACTGTTAGGTGGAGCCATTGATTGAGAAGTTGGCTTTAAGTGAACTCGTTGACGCTCGTCTTGGGGAATCATATATGACACAGACGAATTATCCCTTATGGCCAAAACAGCCTACTTCTTCGTCCATGGGGGACGTAATTGGACTTTCGGACTTTCCCCACTTTTCCTTTTGGTTGAACATGTTAGTATGGATTATCAAATTGCTAGCTCGAGAACATGACCAGTGGCCAGTGGGAGCATTTCTGGTGTTGAGGTTAATGGAAGTTAATCTTCTCTTCTTGTGTATCAAACTAGATATATGTCACTACTTCCACATCTTTTCGCTTCTGAATCCAAATTTGAAGTCACGAGTTCTGTTGATTCAGGTGGTGCGACTTCTTGAGGGAGAACCCGTCCACTTGGCCACTATGGGAGATAAATATGAACCAAGTTATTGCAAGTGAAGAAAAAATCCGGCTTTTCATTAATCATGTTCTGTGTGATGTCTTTCAATTTGTGTGGGTTCTCTCATTTCCCGAATCTTAGGGCCGGTACTAGTCATGCACTTGCATATATGTATAATGAACATAAGTTTGCCCCCTCTTTTGCCATTACTAGTCTCATGAACGAAATGCTATATTTGAAATCATTTGATGGGGCAACAAAGCGGATACGAATCAAGTTACGTGTCCTGAAGAGGTGTGAGGACGATTTCCACCGCCCATTGTGGTAGGATGACTTGATAACATAAAATAATCAGCGAATCATTTAAAATAATGGGGGTTAATTAGATTAATCATGTTGAAGGGCACTTGGAGAGTCCTAGGCGCATAGAATAAAAATCTCCAATAAAATATAGCGAGGGTGGGGATTCAAAGAAGGCATATATATATATATATATATAGTTGGGGAGGGACGACAAGAGGAAGTCATGACAAGTTGGGCATATCATGCGCAGAGGGAATCACGAGGGATTTCTCTTACTCCACTAATCAAAATCTAATTATTCCGGAGCTAGTGACGCACTCGCCAATTTATGCCGCGAACCACCAAAACTGGCTTGGCTTTTCGCCCCGTCCTCCTTCCATATGCTCGTAGCAGTCACCTAATTCCCCGCCAACCATCGCATACTGTGGAAATGACCTCCACAGTCACCGAAGTACACCCACACGCACGATATCTGAGGAAATCCAGGCTTTATGCTGTAAGTTGAGACCATTTGGGCAGAAGAACAAATAATTGAAACCCCCAGTCCCAGCGTCTGTTCTTGCCTCGTCAAGTTGTCAACTTGACATTTAGTGGCACTAAAGATGCATGCGTGTTGTTTCTCTATCCTGAATTGAAAACAACATTTGATGCAGAAGGAAAATAAAACTAGTGGGGGCATGTCAATCCATGTATATATAATATAAAATGCACACAATTACAAAAGAATACCACTCAGCTCACAAAACTGTGTGGTAAACTAAGAGAGTATAAAAAACTAGGGAGTGAAGAGAGGCAGAAATGAGACGGCAGACAAGCAGAGGAGTTTGGAAGGACGCAAGGGAAAGAGGAATAGAAATTGAATTAGAAGGAGTGGGTCCTGATGTGACAGTGAAGAGAGGGGAATGTGTGGTGGATTTCCCGGGTTCAGTTGCAATCTAGTGAATATTTTTAAAATAAAAAAATATATCTATATAATATTGAGGATGGACGGGACGTCTCGAGGACGATCTCATATTCCATTCCATCTTGAAGCTCTTTTTTGTCTACCTTATAAGGTTTTATTTTTAATATTTTTATATTAAAATAAGACTTATTCTAATATGATAAGGATAGAACTAAATTATTTGAGACGAGAATAAATTGAACACTCTTACATTTAACCCTTAACAACTATTGATAGAAAAAACCTTTTTTTGGAAATATGTCCCAAGTTTTTCATAGCAAATTAATTTCTGGTCTTTTTTTTGGCAATTTTTTTTTTAAAATCATGCCAGTTTCTTTCTTTTTAAATAGTATTAAAAAAAGGAGCAGGCTGTAACAGCCCTCCTGGGTCACCACTGCCTCTCCAGGGTCTTTTCCCAGGCGCTGGACAACACACATGTCACCACATGATTGCCGGCTTTCCCACTGGTGGTACAGTGGTTATTCCTCACCCCACCCTCACGGGGGTCTTTTGGAACCTCCCCAGACTCGAACCTCCAACCTCTACCACTTTTCATATATATATATATATATATATCTTTAATTACTATTACTGATTAGAGTAGCTTTATTGCATAATTTTTGAGTTATAAATTTTATCTGAGGTTTTAATTGCTATAATCGATTGATATAGCATTGTAAGAGTAATTTGGCTTGGCTTGGGTGATTATCCATGCTTTGTTTTTAGTGTGGCTATAAAACAATTGTTAGGTTGTGGGTTAAAGGAGATTTCAATTAATCTATAACTTAACTTCTTGTTTAATTCTTGAATGATAATTTGAGAAATATTATAATGAAACCAGAATAATAAAGTTGAATAAAATTAATTTATTTTGTAGACGAGGAAGGTTAAATTTAGGTGATTGGGTTGTGATTGATTGCGCTGCTTGTTGTCGGTAATTTTCTTAATTGAATTTCCTCTATTTATTTATTTATAATTTAGTTTTTAATTTCATCATAAAAAAACCCCCCCATTATTTACCTTTTCATAATCATAATTTAAATAGTTACTCTATTGACTCTTAGGGAGACGACCTAGGTTGCACTTTACTGCAAAATCTAGTTTTTATTAATTTTGGTGCTATTCGACAGTAGTGTCAAAATTTTGGCGCCGTTGCCGGGGAGTCAAAGGTGTTAACTTTTTGAGTTTGGTTATTAGTTTTTTTTTTCTTTCTCATTATTTTTATTTTTTTTATTTTTTTTCTCTAGTATTTTTTATTTTTTTCAAGATTTATTATTATTTTTTGTCTTTACTTGTTTTAGGTGTTTTTCATTGTTTTTCCAGTTTATTAGTGCATGACAAGATCTTTACAAGATAAATTAATTGATTTGAACTCTGAGATTGAGAGAACTTGTCGTACTAACCGTAAAAATCAAAAGCACCGTAAAATTAGGGATAGTGTGATCTCTGAAATTTTGTCTGAATTGATTGATAGCATTATTAGTGATTCTAAATCTGACTTAGACTCTACAGTTAAGTTGGAAAATATGGCTGAAAATAATAATGGTAATAGAACAATTAAAGAATTGGCTGCTCCTAATGCACACTATCAAAATTTATGCATTCAATATCCTAATTTAGATGCAAATGCTAGTTTTGAATTGAAATCTGGTTTAGTACATTTGCTACCTAAATTTCATGGTCTTGCAGGAGAGGACCCGAATAGGCACTTGAAGGAATTTCATATTGTGTGCTCCACCATGAAGCCTCAAGGAGTTTCAGGAGAGCAAATCAAATTGAGGGCTTTTCCTTTTTCATTGGATGGAGTGGCAAAAGATTGGTTGTATTACTTGCAACCAGGTGCCATTACATCTTGGGATCAAATGACACAGTTATTCTTAGAAAAATTCTTCCCTGCCTCTCGCACAGCTGCAATTAAAAAGGATATTTGTGGGATTCGTCAGATGACTGGGGAGACATTTCATGAATATTGGGAGAGATTTAAGAAATTATGTGCCAGCTGCCCTCACCATCAAATACCTGATCAGCAGCTGGTTCAACATTTTTATGAAGGTCTCTTACCAACAGATAGGTGGTTTGTTGATGCCGCAGCTGGTGGTGCTTTGGTAGAACTTACTCCAACTGATGCCATGAATCTCATTTCTAAGATGGCACAAAATTCTCAACAATTTGGGACACGAGCTAACCAAGCAGTTAAGGGGGTGAATGAGATTCCAACACCACAATATGATCCTAAATTTGAGAACAAGATGGAGGAGCTCTCTAGCATGGTTCGGCACATTGCCTTAACACAACAAAAATTAATGAATTCACCAGCAGTGCCAACTTTTCCACAGGCGTATCCCTCACAGACGTGTGCACAACCTCAATTTTATAATCCTCAGCAAGCTACCACATCTTCTGCCTTAGTTGGGCCTCTATGTGGCATCTGTTTTTTAGCCACACACACTACTGATCAATGCCCACAGTTGGATGATAGAGTTGAGAATTGTGCTGGGATTTTTCCAACTAGATCTATGCAACAGGGCCAAAAATATGATCCTTTCTCTAACACTTATAATCCAGGGTGGAGAGATCACCCTAATTTCAGATATGGAGGAAGCCAAATGCAAAGCCACGATTAGTCAGATGGATGCTCTTGCTACAGGAGTTTAACTTAGAGATAAAGGATAAGAGTGGAGCTGAGAATTTTGTCGCAGACCATTTGAGTCGCATTGAATCTCCTATGGTTCCTTTTATTCCTATTGATGATAATTTTCCTGATGAATGCTTATATGCTATGCATGATGTTACTCCTTGGTATGCTGACTTAGTTAATTACTTAGCTGCCTCTGCATTGCCTGTGCATTTAAAGAAACATCAATTAGATAAGTTCAAGAGGGAAGCTAGATATTACATATGGGATGATCCATACCTTTGGCGCATATGTAGTGACCAGATTATTAGGAGATGTATTCCTGACATTGAGTTTGAATCCATATTGCATTTTTGTCACACACTTGCTTGTGGAGGACACTTTGGTCCACAACGCACTGCTAGAAAGGTTCTTGATTCTGGATTGTACTGGCCTACTCTATTTCGTGATGCATATACATTTTGTAAACATTGTGCTAGATGTCAGCATACAGGAAATATCTCCCGTAGAAATGAGATGCCTCAACAACCTTTACTTTTCTGTGAAATATTTGATGTATGGGGTATTGATTTCATGGGACCTTTTCCTGTTTCATTTGGATTTGCTTACATTTTACTAGCTGTGGATTATGTTTCTAAGTGGGTGGAAGCTAAAGCCACCAGAACTGATGACTCTATTGCTGTTGTAGATTTTGTTAGATCACATATCTTTTGCAGGTTTGGTATTCCAAAGGCCATTATCAGTGACCAAGGCACCCATTTTCGTAATCGGAGCATGCAGAGTTTATTGGGTAAGTATGGGGTCGTGCATAAGATGGCTACCCCTTATCACCCCCAAACTAATGGGCAAGCTGAAGTCTCGAATCGAGAGATAAAGCAGATTCTTGAAAAAACAGTGCAACCTAATAGGAAAGACTGGAGTAAGAGACTTGATGATGCATTGTGGGCATACAGAACTGCCTACAAGACTCCAATCGGAATGTCTCCTTATCGGCTTGTTTTTGGGAAAGCTTGTCACTTACCTGTGGAGATTGAGCATAAAGCTTATTGGGCAGTAAAGCAGTGCAATATGGATTTAACTAAAGCAGGAGCCCAAAGAAAATATCAATTGCAAGAGCTTGAAGAATTTCGCTTGGAAGCATATGAAAATTCAAGAATCTACAAGGAAAAGACCAAGTTAATACATGATAAGCTGATAGTTAGAAAAGAGTTCAAGGTGGGACAAAAAGTGTTACTCTATAATGTCAGATTGAAACTTATGCCAGGAAAACTTCGTTCTAGATGGGAAGGTCCTTTTATAGTTACTAAAGTGTTTTCTTATGGTGGAGTAGAGATTATGGTAGAATCTACTGGAGCAAAGTTTAAAGTTAACGGGCATCGGTTAAAGCATTTTTATGATGGATTTGAGACACACATTGTGGAGGAGTCTTCCCTCCAAGATAACACTTAATCGATCAGGTTGTATCATTTCTCTTCACTTTTAATTTACATTTTCCTATACATCTTTCGAACTATGTTCTACATTGAGGACATTGTAGATTTTAAGTGTGGGGGGAGGTTTTTTTGCTGTTTCTAATTTTTTTTCTTGTTTTCATTTTTTTTATTTTTGTGTTCTTGTTTTCAAAATAAAAAAATAAAAAAAAATAATTTGTGCGAAGTTGCAAATTTAAGACAATTTTAGTTTGAATGCATTTGAGCATGATAAGTAATTGATCTTATGTTTAGAATTTAAGTTAAGTGGCATGAGTTTGGTTTCAATGAATTAATGTGATAGCCTTTAGCTTGTAAAGATTTGAGCCTAATATTATTCTCTTTTTGTGTGTATTCTGCTATCACTACTCCCACTCTAGAACTTGTCTTGATTCTTAGTTGAGACTATAATTGCATATGCTTTGCATGAAGATGATTTAGGCATTCTTTTAGCCTACTTAGCCAAATAGCCATCCCATGCAATTTATCCCTTGTTAGCCCCTTTGAGCCTAAACCTTTTCTTTAAAATTTTAGCCAATTGAAAACATAACCTATAAAAATATTTTCCTTTCATTCTTCTCACCCCACTTTAGGTGATGAAAAGTGTATTATAATATTTGTTGGAATGAAAGAATATGCTTGAAGAGAGATTTGGGTTATTTTGAAAAAAAAACGAGAGAAAAAAAAAGCAAAGAAAGAAAGGAAGAAAAGAAAAGAAAAGAAAAGAAAGAGCATAAAAGTCATAACACAACAAAAAAAAAAGGTGCATGAAGCAAAGGAAAGGAGAACAAAATAAAGAGAGAAAAATAAACCCAAATCAGTTTATTTTGTTTCTTTCATTCTATATATTTCGTTTCAAATATACTTTTCATTATCCTAAAGTTTATTAACCTTCATTTTCCTATATCATACCTTTACCTAAGCCCCATTACAACCTAAACTAAAATCCTATTGATTCTTATATTGCATATGACATAAATAGTGGAGACCTAGATGATAAACAAGCCTATGGTAGTGAGGTTTTAATAGGGGAACTTGAGTGAAACACTTACCTATATACATTTGAGAGTTGAGAGTTAAACACTTGACCTTTGTGAGGGGCTATTGCTTAATTTATTCTTACCAAATGAAATTGCCATGATACTTGTTATTCTCAATATAAGAGATATTGATTAAAGTGTTAAAATGTTGAAGAGCTATAATTATTTCTTATTCTTTGTTGCTTCCACAGTTCTTTTCTTGAAATTTGAGATTTAAGTTTTGCCCAGGAGTGCAAAAGTCTAAGTGTGGGGGAATTGATAAATGATAATTTTATATATTTTTATTCTTTTAATTTAGACTTTTAATTATTTATTTAAGGCTAATTGAGTTTAATTAGATATTATTTGATTTTATTAGCTAATATTCAGTTTTGGAATTTTAACTAACTAAATCTTTGATTTTAAAATATAAATAATATCTTTAATATTTTTGCACAGGTGCTATTTAATTTTATTTTATTTGTGCAGATTTTCTAGATTCAATTTGAAAGATATTGATGAAGAATATTTTGGATAAGAAGAATATGGGCATGCTTGGAGATCAAATCAAGAATCAAATCTTTAAAATTTTATTTGAATTATTTAGTGTAATTTTTAATTAGGGTCCACTTTTCATATATATATATATATATATATGAATAGATGGGGGACGGAGAGGAAGCACGATCTAGGAAAAAAAAACGAAAGAAGGGAAACAGAGCAGCGATCGCCATTCGTCTTTCCTTCTTCCAATTTCTTGGGTGATGGTTCTTCCAATAAAGAAGTGACTCAATGGTACCAGACTTCGCCTCAATTTCGTTAAGGTGGTAGAGGTTGGAGGTTCGAGTCTGGGGAGGTTCCAAAAGACCCCCGTGAGGGTGGGGTGAGGAATAACCACTGTACCACCAGTGGGAAAGCCGGCAATCATGTGGTGACATGTGTGTTATCCAGCGCCTGGGAAAAGACCCTGGAGAGGCAGTGGTGACCCAGGAGGGCTGTTACATAAAAGGCGCCTTTTATGTAACAGTACGGAGCCACCCCTTGGGCCTCGACTCGGTACTGGACTCTGGCCCATCACTGGACCAAAGCCGACTTTCCCACAGGTGGTACTGTGGTTATTCCTCACCACTGCCTCTCCAGGGTCTTTTGGAACCTCCCCAGACTCGAACCTCCAACCTCTACCACCTTAATGAAGTTGAGGAGAAGTCTGGTACCATTGAACCAACTTGGTTCAATGGTACCAGACTTCGCCTCAACTTCATTAAGGTGGTAGAGGTTGGAGGTTCGAGTCTGGGGAGGTTCCAAAAGACCCTGGAGAGGCAGTGGTGAGGAATAACCACAGTACCACCTGTGGGAAAGTCGGCTTTGGTCCAGTGATGGGCCAGAGTCCAGTACCGAGTCGAGGCCCAAGGGGTGGCTCCGTACTGTTACACAGGCTGCATACTTTTTAAATAATATTAAAAAAAAGGAGCAGGCTGCATATTTATAAGGGAGAATGAAAAAGAGGGTTTAAAAAAATTAATTAATTTAAGTTAAATTTTAAGTATTCAATTTCATAAATTTGTAACTTAATCTCTCAATTTTACAATTCTGTTGTAATAAATTTATAACTTATATTTTAAATTTTAATAAAAAAATTCTTTCATTCTTCAATTATATTAAAATTTAAAAAATAAATTATAAATTCAACACAATATAATTATAAAATTAAGATATTAAGTTATAAATTTTTAAAATTTAATTTAAATTAATTGATTTTTGGAAACTCTTTGTCCATTCTCCCAGTTCCGAAAGGCAAAGAGTGGGACCCCCAAAGTCATTTTATTTTCCACGGCCACAAGCACATCCAAACCCTTCCCTTGGCATCGCTTCGCAGAAGCCCACTCTTGGAGAAAAAGTTGCTTTTCGATTTTTTTAAATTTTGGTCGGACGCAGAATGGGAGTAAGCTGGGGTGGGTGCGATTCCGACGTCGAGCTGAAACAGGTTCTATTTCTCAACGTCCCTCTCTGTTTGGCTGTGTATATATGCAGAAGCAGAGGATGCCATAATATTTGATTCCCTCTGGCTCTGCTTATCTATCTCTGTCTTCAGGATGTAAAGGAAGAGGTGTAATCTGGGTGAGGGTGAGAGCTTATCTTCTTCATTTTCATGTCCAAAGGTATTCCTCTTTCTCCTCTCTTCTTTTATTTATTATCCTTTCTATATCTATCTCCATCCCCTTTTCCTTCCCCTGTCTTTCATACAATCTCTTCTGAAAACTTTTTTTTTTTCATTTTCTCTGCCTTGTCCCACCATCCTCTCCCTCTTTCATTACATTTCCACTCTCTGTCCATGAATATGCTTCGTCGTCCATGTTTCATAGAAGCAATTTAAAGTTGTCGTTCATAAACTCTACGCATGCTACACCTAGTTGAGCAATATTTTTTTGTCTTCAAGAAATATTTGCCTTTATTATTATTATTATTTTTTTTGAAATAATCAATTTAAACACAACTCACACACCAGGTGCCAAATCTTTGCCCTTAATTAGTACAGAGCTATTTTTTATGGATGAATAATTGAACGCATATTCAAATCTTCTCTCTCTCTCTCTCTCTCTCTATATATATATATATGAAACAGTTCTATTTTTATCTCTCTCAGCCAATATGTACTTCATGCATATTAACTTGAATACGCATGTATCGTTGCCGTGCGGTGGGCAAAAGACGGGTGTTGGTTTAGTAAGGAAGGTTGCGTGGTGCTTTGGTGGTGAGATGTCCAAATCTTGAAATAAATTACTTGGAGGCAATTCGATGTAACGTGTGTGATTGTCAAGTCCGAAGAATCCTGTTTAAAGTTGGAATCACAATCTTTACGTCACATTAGACACCTTTCTGGTCGGCTTAGTGAGATTCTCATTTACCCACTACGTGTTTGCCGTTGCTTTAGAAATTAGAAAGTCATCACAGGCGCTGGCTAACGCACCTCCCTTTCCTTCCACCAGGAATTGAATTTTCTTTCTTTCGTTTGTTAATTTTCCATGTTTTCCTGTAATATGGGAATCTGATCGGATAGATATGAACACCCAGCGAGATGAACGATCTTAATTGCATTTTCATGCAATCCCATTGGGAGCTTTGATTATGCCTTTTCTGCTTAGCTTGAGAGAAAAGGAAAAAGCGGAAGCTTTCCTATATGCACTGCGTGTAAGGCTTAACATACTCGATTAAATTTTTCTTCTTTTGTACCCCTCTGAATGTTTACACCGAAAATGTCTCCTTTCACGGGGTGATGCCATGATTCTTCGGCTATTATTCTTTATTCTTCTTCTTGTCTCCTTCCCACACCACGCATTTCCTTATCGACTGGACTCATCACGTTCTCTGTTTACCTCCTTTTTCTTGAAATCACGTTCGAAGGCCTAGAAGAAAGGCAGATTCCGTAGTTTTAGTACTCACTTAACCGGAGACATACACCCTTATCTTTTCTCGCCAACAAAGATACATCCTTAAGATCTCAGTATTTATTGCTGCATTAGAGTGACTACAAAATTTTCTGTTGTTTTTTTGTGTTTCTGTTCTTCTTTTCTCTCGTGTCCAAAAAAAAAAAAGAGTGGCTACAAAATTTGTCCGAGTCTTTCTTAAAAAACACGCCGTGTTCTTTCTCTTTAACTCACAGTCACACGTACATCATGCATGATACCGAATCATTGCTTTTAGACGAGCCTTGGGTTAACTGCTTTTTGGAACCTCACTCCAAACCCACATGCTAATATCCCTCGAAGTATTGTTCTCTTCACCGTACCATTCAGTTCAGAAATAATTGATTTTGTGTTATATTTTCTCTTTTGGTTCTTCCAGCACACCGCTCTCATGCAGGGCAACACGTGGAGCTTTGGATTGGACAATAACTATTACTTTTTCTCTTCTAACCAGGCAAGACTTTTGCACTTTGATGCAGGGAGAGCAAGGCTTGTCGTTGGGAGAAGAAATTAAGTTTTAAATGGCTACAGTTTGTTGGCCATATTTTGATCCCGAGTATGAGAATTTCAGCAACAGAATCAATCCTCCAAGGTTCACTTATATTTTCCTGTGCGTCATAAATTTTTCCCTGCTAGTTAAATAGCCTATTTGGGGATGATCATTGAGTGTCACCTACCTGAATTAATTGAGCCGTAAAAGAATAGGAAAGGAACAAAAACACTTTGGAAAAAGGTCAGACGAATTATCATCTTGACATGAACCACCCTGGTTGGGGGGAAGAGGTCACCAATAGAATTCCAAATGGAGTCAGAGGTTGAACAAATAGTCGAATTGGGGTCTTTGGATGGATTTCTAATACCATGAAAGAAGTGAATTTTTTATGGGAATATCTGTTTGCGTTCGCAGGGTCTCTGTGGACAATGCTAGTTGTCATGATTGTACCCTAATCAAGGTATAATTTCTCAAATTCATGATTTAGGCATTTTCATGGCCTTGTTGTGATGTGATTTATCATCAGTGAAACGATGCTACTTTCTGCATTGCTTGTCATCAATCAGTTCCTTTTAGCAATATTTTCTTTTATTTTCAATTATTGAAGTTCACATGGAGTAACACCCACTACATGATTAAAAGCAGCTTTTCTGTCCTTAGAAGAAGTTGTGCTCGTTAAAGTGTAACACCCACTTCATCATCACTGGAATCATCTTTTCATAATTTATCTTGAAAGCATCTCTCGTGACCCTCGGGAGCATACTAGGCTGTTTCTTGTTGTGATTAGGAATGGGACTGATGTAACTGATTATATTTTTTAATATAATTTCCATTTTGCAACCCAAAAAAAAAAAAAGAATAACTTGTGAAATTTGTTGACAAAATTAGGAGTTAGAGTAATCCTCAGTCCAATTAGTAAATTCTCTCTCTCTCTCTCTCTCTCTCGTAAAAAAAAACTGCAGGTTGATAGTGTTAATAAACCAGGAATTCTGCTGGAGGTCGTACAAATTCTTACTGACCTTGACCTCATAATCACCAAAGCTTACATATCTTCAGACGGTGGATGGTTCATGGATGGTAAGCGTCAATTTTAGACACGCCTGAGCATTCCCCCCCTGAATCAAGTAATTAACATATCTGAACTATTGCATAAGCAGTATTTCATGTCACGGATCAGCAGGGAAAGAAGATAATAGACAGCAAAACCATTGAATTCATAGAGAAGGTATATCTCCTGTATGTTTATATAATGTTTTCTTACTCTAGGCCCAAGGATGGTAGCGAATTAATCACTTGAAAAATTCAAACTTATTGAAGTAATGCATTAATATATTACAATATCTTTCTTGCTATTTTTCTAAGATATTTTTAGAAAAAGATGTGTATCATCTTAGGAAGGGGGTAATGTAATTTCTGTTTCTGTCAAAGCACTGGCAGCAAAATCTAGACACATGGATCCACGCTAATTTAACGCTGGATATTTGACCCGTATTTTTTAGTAAAATGCATTTTTAAAGTTGGAGAAAAACTACCGTGACCTATGCTTTTCCAACTTAAAAGGAAATCTTGTACTGATGTTACTCATAAAATCTAGACTCCGTAAGAAGTGCCGCAAATGTGACTGTGGAAGAAGTTAGTGATCAGATTTCCATACTAATGAGCACTCATAATTAAACTGAGCATCTCAAGTACTAAGAGCTACTTCTTAACAGTTTTTCTTACAATAGGCTCTAGGACCCAAGGGCCAGAGCAATGAGGGGGCGAAGAGTTGGCCAGGCAAACAGGTTGATGTGCATTCGATTGGTGATCATACTGCTATCGAGCTCATTGGAAGGGACCGCCCTGGTCTTTTATCTGAGATCTCAGCTGTGATTGCCAGCCTCCACATTAACGTGGTTGCAGCTGAGGTTTGGACTCATAATAGGCGAATAGCATGTGTTCTTTATGTCAATGACGCTACTAGCCGATCAGTGGATGCTCCTAACAGATTATCTCTCATGGAGGAGCAGCTCAACCATATCCTACGTGGATGTGAGGATGATGAGAAAATAGCTCGCACCAGTTTCTCCATGGGTTTCACCCATATGGATCGGCGGCTCCACCAAATGCTGTTTGCCGATCGTGATTATGAATGTGCTGTGGTGACAACAGACGTTGGTTATCCTCCCTCTTTCAGGCCACAAATTACAATAGAGCATTGTGAGGAGAAAGGGTACTCAATTGTTAGTGTCAGATGCAAAGATCGAGCCAAACTTATGTTTGACATTGTTTGCACTCTGACTGACATGCAATATGTTGTTTTCCATGCCACAATTTCATCAGATGCTCCTTATGCATCCCAGGTATATTATATTCTCATATATGCAGGAACCTATTCTATGCATTCAGTTGTGTGCTCATATCTCTGGCCTCTGGGAAGATGGGCAGCATTTTATTGGGGTAGCCGAACTGTGTAACACTTGTAAATTTGTAGGAGTACTTCATCCGGCACATGGATGGATGCACACTTGATACTGAAGGAGAGAAAGAAAGGGTCATCAAATGTATTGAAGCTGCTATTCAAAGAAGAGTAAGCGAGGTAATGTGAACTTCATAATTGATTTCCACGAGCTTCATTAAATCCCTACTGTGAAGAAGACAGAGTTGAACTTTGGTGCTCAGCTCTGAGTAAGTCTTCCATGTTCTGTCAGGAAAGCTGGTTTGTTGATATGGTTTATAGCGCTCTTATTTTGACTAGTGATTGTTGTCCACTTGAAATGAATAAACCCATGGTAAATAGATTCTCTCTTGACTTCACGAATGGACTGTTCTTTTGTTGCTCATACTCGTTTACTCTCTGTTTTTGCACGTCACCTTCTGGGGAAATTTACCCTCTTGTACTTAGCATGTACTATGTGATTCCACGAGTCGAATTTTTCTGAATACGGCCAAGCTGATGCATTTTGGATCTGCAACTATGTACCTGTATTGTTGTAGGGGGCTAAGTTGTAGTCGGATTGCATCTTATCATCACATCCACTATATCCAGTGACAGTGATGGTCTTTTGGATTTCAGTTTAGATTAAGAACCTATATATGCTGCATGTAGTTTCATGTACATCCCCGTGATCCTTGAACTGAAGAATGCAGGTTGACAGGAAAAACTTGTCGCATGATTTGCGTGTTGAGTTTATGAATGAAAAGCATATTAAGAGTCACATTGTAGCGCAGCAGACGATCTGACAAACGATGGATGCAGGGAGTGAGCCTGGAGCTGTGCGCAAAAGATAGAGTGGGCTTGCTATCAGAAGTGACGAGGATTCTAAGGGAGAATGGGCTGACAGTGTGCAGAGCAGGGGTATCAACCATAGGGGAGAAAGCGGTGAACGTGTTCTATGTGAGGGATGCTTCTGGGAATCCAGTGGACACCAAGGCTATAGAAGCACTTAGGAAAGAGATAGGGGAAAGCATGATGATCAATGTGAAGAAGATACCGGCAGGCAATGCCAAAGCACCCGGGAACCACCGAGGATGGGCTAAAACAGGCTTCTTCTTCGGCAATTGGCTCGAAAGGTTCTTGAATTGACTTGCTTGCCGGGCGCATTGTCGCTGTGCATCAGAACAATAACAAAGTGTTGCGTGCCAATTGCCGCATATGGGATGCGTGCTGTCCATTACTTTCTGTAAAGATCAATCGATGCTTTAAGTTGTTGTAACTCATAGCCATATTCCTCCATACCTGACCCATCTTTCATTTCTGATGCTTTTTAATTATCTCATTTCCGTCCTTTCCCCACAAAATAAAGTCACTTTTGGCCTTTTTCTAAGTGAAAACTTGAGATCCACTCCAGCAGCAAAAATTACAAGGTAGTCACCATCAAACACTAGAAAGGTAGCTTAACTGGCAAGGTCTTGACTAGGAGTTCTGGAGATGCAACCACATCAAATATTCGACGAGAGAATTTTGCTGCTTTTTATGGTCTTGCCAGTCTCGATTTAGGTTAATTTGAGCCTCATTAAATTCTTCATTATGTCGGAATCCGATTAAAAAAATTATGCTAAAGGGAAATCCCATCTTATGTTTGGAGAGAAAAACACGGAGACATGGAGGCCCAGCCCATTGCCATATGTTTGAATTTTGATAAACTTCCTTTTATTGGCCGCTGAAACATTACTCCCACTTTCTACACTGTTGTGTTTGAGACACTTGTGCGAGAAACATTCTCTAGTGGCCCAATAGAAGATCGAGGGCAAAATTGAAAATCTTGTTTAGGACAACCGAAAACCTTCCAGAATAAAATAAAGCCGCAGGAAAGCTTTCACTTCAAATAATTTCTTCAGAGTCAAATTCCTGTTTAGGACTTTGTGCGTCACCGTTGAGTTAGATGCATTGAAATGGCGTCTGGCGAAGTCACCGTAAATAAACATGCGTGTGCGTTAAAGAAAGAGACTTGTTCCCTCCCCCAAGAAAAAATCAAGCTTTGTTTTCCCCCTGTTTCTCACTGGGTTCAGGTGAAGGCAACCCTGCATATGGCCCTTGCATAGTTTTAACTTTTTTCTGATTTTTTTATACAACTTTTTCCTTTTTTTTTTCCTTTCTTTCTTTCTTCTTCTTCTTCTTCTTCTTCTTCTTTTTTTTAACTATAATGTTTTCTGCTCAGGGACTTGATTCTTCGTCGTGTCCACCCAAAAAAAAAAAAAAATTACATGATGAGTCAAAATATACTTTTGAAATTGCATAATTTTATAATTGAAATATAGGGTGAGCAAAAATTTCTTGGCGATAAAATAAAAAATTCTCTCTTTGTTGTTCAGTGACGTACGCCCAATGGAATTGATGTAATTTGTGATACTTAAGTTGATTCGTAGTGATGTTCAATGGCAATGAAAAATTGGCTGACCAAAGTACTCAATAAAGCCAACGAAGGATGGGTTGGGGAACTTGCATTTAACTTTTTTAAAAATCAAGTGATTTGGATTAACAATATGAAATGAATGTACATCTTCGAATTATATTTAAAAAGCGATTGAACATTGAGATCGTAATTATTGATAGCTTTGGAAACTCACATTTGGCGTGAGTTAGTAGATGAGGGAGTTCAAATACATACCTAATTCTTTATTTTGCCATGCTACCCTTCCACCTCTACTCTTCTTTCTAGTTTGCGTCTCTTCTTTTAGGTGTCATTTTATTAGAAGGCCATGGCGAGGAGCTCCAGCACAACATAGCATGCTCTTATATGGCTTTTAACCCCACATCCAAGCTTGCTCGGCTGTCTTTGCTTTAGGAATTGTTAGTTTTTAACTTTTCTTTTAAAGCATTTTGTTCAGTTCTTATTGTTAATTTTTAAAATAAACATTTAATCATGTTAATTTTAGTATTCATGTACATCATACTATTTATATAAATTTGTCCAATATATAAAATATTATATTTTTTTTAATATACATGAAACATTTTGATGATTGTATATTTAAAAATATATTTCATTATATATAATTTAAACAACTTGTTGTTTATTAATTATTGAATTGACTTTTGAAAAAATTTGTATCTAAATATCAATTTTATTACAACAACTAAATTTTATTAATCTAATTTCTAACAAATGAACTTTTTACAAAAGTTAGACTAAAGGAAACCAAACACGCACGGAATATATGCAGCATAAACTGAAAACAAAATGTGCTGCAGCATCACCCCGTGCGAAGGTCTCATCTTGTTTTCCACGTTCGAATGAACCGTGCATGGTTAATTAGCCGGCGCGTTTAATATTTTTTTTGGTTTTTTTAAGTAAATCTTCATGATTTGTTTTGAGATGTTAGCTTTCTCTGTTTCTTTTTGCCGCCTCCTCATCAGATTGTCCTTCTGATGTATACACATTATATGAAACACAATGAATGTACAATAGAAATATCGGTGACTCTTGTTGAACACCAACTGATCATAGACACACGTGAGTAGTGAGCACTATTAGCAGTGGCTGCTCAATCACTGCCACCATGAGATATCACCATAGCCACTTGCATTTGTGATGGAACTTTGTGTCGAGACGATGAGTAGCCCAACATCCAGGGTGGAGGTCCACTCCATGGGAACATTCAGGGGACGAAGGCCCATCGCAAGCCGCACGCAATATAATAATACTAATAACTAATAATAATGCCGATACTTTCACCCTATGGTCTAACCACTATTAGAGATAGTAATAGGTCAGACCTTGCTTAAATAAAGGTTTATAACGTGACTTACTTTAGACTCAGTTTAGACTATTTATTAAATAGACTCAACACATGTTTAAGTTTTTAATTAGGTTAAACTTATTTTTTTTAAGGTTTAACATATAAACTCAACAGACTGACCTATTTTTATATATCTATATATATCACAAACACATTAACTTCACCATTTAATTTTTAATCAATCTATTCTTTTTTTATTTTTAGTTATATTTTTAATTATATTGTATTTATATATTAATTTTAATGATGTTAATTAATTGTTATATTGTATTGTAGTTGATAAGTCCTTTCAACCGTTATATATTATAATTGATAAATCAAGTTTTATATTGTATACTATAATAGTCCTAAACTATATTTAAGATGTTTAAAACTAAAATACGAGTATATTTAAAAAGCTTATTTTTAAGTAGGCTTTTAAATGAACTTTCAAGCCAAGCCATATTTTAAGTAGGCTCAAGTTTGAATTATAAAAAAAAATCTTATACAGACTTTAAGTCAGGTTTAGACTTTTAATTTATTATACAAGCTTAAACTTATTTGATTTATCAGTTTTTTAAAAGATATTAATAATTATTATAGAAAAATGTATCTAAATGTTATATTAAGTACGTCAAAAAAAATATATTTTCCATTTAGAATTATAAAATTTATAATCTTATACTATACTAAATCATTTTATCAACTTTTAACTAATTACAAACAATTAAATAATCATAAACTCATGCTTACTCCATCTGGTGCATAATATTTTTTTTAATTATACTCTCATGAAATATCTTATATAAATATCTTAATAATAAAAGTTAAAATTGTAATGAACCACTTTTTTAAAATAAATAAATAAATAAATAAAGTAAGGATATAGTTGAAAAAAAAATACAAAAACTACCTAATATTTTATATTTTAGTTCAAAACATGACTTCAAAAGTCCTATATTAAAAATGCTCTCGCTTATTAGAGGAAATTAGCTCAATAATATCAAAAAATATAGCTCTCATTAATTATGGATGAAATTTTCAAATATTATGAAATATGGCTCATTCATAAAATCAATTAGATGTATTTTACTTTTTCATCCTCAAATTAAATTTATTATTAAAATATAATATATCTATTGTAACTAATCCCTAACTGACTAAGTCTTTCCTTTTTTTTAATCTGAATATAATAAAATTAGCAGTGCCTTTCTTTATCACAAAACTTTTTTTCTCTCTCCCTCTCTGTTTTTTCTCAGGAACACTATGAAGAGGACATTAGACATTGAAGAGGAATCTTCATTTCTGGAAGCAAAAGACCAAGCTGAAATCTATTATCTGTCATCAAATTTTTACCATCTTTACCTCTCTCGGTAACATCAAATTTTTTATGAACTATGTTTGATTCATTTTAGGCAAATGATTATATATTTTTCATGTTGCTGATCTACAATACTACATCATTAACATATGTATGTGTATAAATGATAAGCAAGTTTATATCTGATTATCTAGTTATGTTGATTTGTGATAGTATATCAGTGATATACAGTAGTATATCAATGATGTAATATCGCGAATTAGTAACACAAAAAATACATAATTATTTATCCAAAATGGATCAAACATAGCCCACAAAATTTTTTGGATTCTTGGTTTATCATTTGGACTCTTGGTATAAACCAAGAGTCAAATACATAAACTAATAAAATAAAAAATTATGAATCTATAACTCCATTTTCCCACCGACATGCTCCATTTTGTAGAGTACCATTGATGTATGATGTATTCCACCTCGCATTTGTCTCTCGTGATTATGAATGTGGCTTGCTCACACTGCTCTGTTGTCTAGCGTTCGTCTCTCTCACATCCATCTCTAAAAAAAGTCATTTTAGATTATATATCTTTCATTCATTGGGCTCAGTTTCAGAAATTTATTGCGTTTTAAATTTTTTGGTATTTGCAAAAAACATATATTAAAAGGGTAGTTTTATAAATTAACTATAAATTAAATATTAAAAAGGTCATTCTTGAAATTTAAGAAATAATAGGCTATTTCTTTTATTTGATATTATAATATAGACTATGTGTGCAAAAAAGCCCCACTTATTTTTTTTGAGTAAAGGTGTAAATTTAGCTTGAACTATTTTTTAAAATAGTACTTGATAATTTATATCATCAAATGATATAAAAAAATTATCAAATATAAAAAAATGGAGCAGCCAGCAAACTTTCATCTATTCTTGACAAATGACTGTTTATTACAATTGCGAGGCCCATATTTTTTATTCTTCTATCTCTCTCTATTCCTCTCACTTCTTCAACTCTTCATCTCTTTCTCATTCATGAACGTCGGCACCATGTGTGCATATATACACATACATGCACTAGCCAAAAATCAACCTCTCTAAAGATTAATTCTTGACCATTACATATACGTACACTATTACAAAAGTGCTAATATAAGACATCTTATATGGAACGGTTATAAACACAATCATCTTGTATGAGGAGACGGATATATGAAAAAATAAAT